GTGAGAATATATGATGAATTTGATGTTGCATTCAAATTCGTCACTGAACTTATATATAATGAAAGATTTTCAGCAATAACACTTGAATTTGTGGTATTACGTAATGTATTTACTGTCTCTATCTAAAAAAGAAAGATACTCACAATAAGAAAACAAACGAAATTTTGCATAACAGACTTGAACTTCAGTTCTGGATATACAACTACCGTTAGATACTGACATGTGTGTAGCATTGCCACAAGGTATGACATATGGTGCCCATAATAGAGCGAAAGTAGACAAATGATTGCAGCTACATTCATAGCGATTAAATGTTGAATTATATTGAGGTTCCGTGCAACCGGATTCATTCCATTTCAAAGTAATTGTATTATAAAATGAACAAAAATATTGGGCGACACGATTTGGTTGATATTCATTTAAAACTCGAAAATATAGAGAAATATTCGTAGGGGGTAGTCTAGAGTCATTTCTTTGCACTCCCACAACAATAACTGATGATGCAAGTTTTTTATTCGTTGAAATATCTATATTTTCATATGTTGTAGGTTTATCAATGATGAGCATATTGAGAGATGTAGCACCAGTTAGAGATTGGTTGCTGATAATAGCTGCTGCTGATAATTTTGAATTGATTATATCATTTGTATTTGCACCATTGACAATTTGGCCACCGATGCCACGTGTGAATGAAGCACCTAAAATGATTACATTACCTCCTTGATTTACTGGCTGCGCTATAATGATTGAATCATTAGTGTTGATTGTTAAATTAACATTACTGATATTACTAACATAAGTATCAATTTCATTCTCTGTTAATTTATAAGTTGAATTTAATGTCGCATTCAGATTCATAATTAAACTGAAGTACCGTGAAAGAGTGGTAGCCACAAGAGTTGAATTTGCAGGATTATTGCGCAATGTATTAATTGCAGTTATCTAAACAGACAATAGATAATTACAAAAAAATATCCATAGTTCATATCATACTGTAATTGCAACTATGGTTACACAATTACCATCGACCAATATATGAGTTTCATTTCTACAATGGTTTGGGTCTTGAGTAGTGGTTGTCGGCGCTGCAGTAGAAGAGTCAAATATGAATATTAACATTAGTGTGCTTATTGCTTATATTATATAATATTTGGAAATACACATGACTCTGAACAAACTCTACACAGCATCATATTGCGAGTGAAGAATTCAGTGTTTGTTGCTTTATCGAATAATAGATTAGATTTTGAAAAATTAGGAATGAACAAATTTATGTAATTCCTTCCGTTGCGCAAAATTTCCAATAACTTTTTTGAATATCTTATGTCACAAAACAGAAGATGAACAATTCAAGAGATGTTTCATCAATCGATCGAGTATTTTTTAACAGGGTCATTGTAGGGTCGAAATTAAAATAAAACCTTTTTTTTTTGTATGAATCGTTTCCTAAAATTAAACTAGAGTTATGAAAAATTTTTTCAAACTCCTAAAATTTAATTTGTGAAGAATTTTGCCTTCTAGAGAACCATTATAAAGATTTTGAAAAAAAAAAGTTTCAGAAAAAAATAGGAGTTCATTATCCTCGAGACATATGTTTGTACTTTTTGCATTGATTTGTTCAGAACAATGAAAAACTTGTACTACTATATAAATACTTGACTCTTTCAGGAACCTATTCGCGACATGTTCGTTTAGTTTTATGTGCTCTTTCAAGTAAGATTTCGCCCCAACAAAATACATGAACAATGGAGATCACCTTTATTTTTCTAAAAGTTTGTCATATTTCAATGCTTATAACTTAATCAAATCAAATTGTATGAGTCTAAGAATTTTTTCATAGCTTTAGTTTATAATATTAATATTTCATCTTATTATTAATGTTTTTCTAATATTTGATTAAATTAAATTTTTAAAAACGCGTTTAAAAGATTTTGATCTATTTTAAAGATTTTTGCAAAGAAAAAAATTCTCTCTGAATTTTTTTTTGTTTTGGATTCTTACTTGTTACGAAGTTATCATTAAATCGTATAGTTCGTTTTAATATCGATTCATTCTTGAAATTGTATAATATATTTGTATCATTTTCTTTTAAAAATTCTACATTTGATTGTACGATAGTTTTATGATAAATTATAATTATTAAATAAATAAATAAAAATTTTTCTCTATTAAAACTGTTCATTTTGTTAAAATAAAATTATTGATATTCTTGTTTTTTACGAGACAATATTTATATGCAAATAAAAAGAAGAAGTTCATGATAATCGAAGTGTAAAGTGTAATTTAATATATTCGTCTAGCTTATAGACGTATGTTTTGAAAATTTGAATAAACAGCAAAACTAAAGTACGAAAAAAAAATCAGGACTTTTCAATATTTATTCTATTCTGAAATCAATACTATTGATAACACAACATTATGTCTTTAAATCAAGTCTATATGTAAGAATTATCGTTATTAATAATTTTCAAAATATATTTTATTTATAAAAAATTTTTAATTAGTTTTTTTGTGAAAATAAATTTATCATCAAACGTTCAAATATTATGATCGATAACAAAAAAACTAATTTGTATTTTAGATATTTTATATAAATTTTCTTCATGCATATAAAAACAAAATGTTTATTATCAAAATAATAATCAAGATATAAACATCAGTGATTACCAAAGTCTCGACAGAATATTTCATTTTGATATATAATATATTTACTTGTAGAAAATAAAATATTTACTAAACTGTTAGACGATACTTTTTAAAATAATCCCATGAATAAAATCATGCATAACATAAGATCTTGTTTTGTATTATGTATTAGAAGTTGAAAAATAATGAAATTGATATGGTTTTAGTCTATTTCTTTTTCTCATAGGAACATAAATTGTTGTCATTATGTTTTATTTTTTTTTGTATAGATAAATTTCTTCGTAAAAATAGTTCATTAGTCTAAACAAGACTATACTCAAATTCATTTTTTTTTGCAGTTTAATTAAATTTATTAAAATCTTATATTTAAATAAGAAAAGAAAATATTTTATGAACCGTGAATTATATCGGAATAGATAGAGTAGAGAAAAATAATTTTCACTATTGATGTTTTCTTTTTTTTTTTCGTAAAAAATTATTTGAAACTGGTTACTAAATACAAATATGAATCGTTTAGAACTTAAGTCAACTTTGTAATTCTATCAACTAGGATTGATCTCATATTTTTCACCGATTACATTGAAACTTATGCATTTTTGGTCATCTTTCGACCAATTTAGTGTGACAATATGGCAGAGATGTCCATCGCGGCAGTGGCAGATTTTTTCCAAAAACTATCGCGGCGCGGCAGCGGCGCGGGAGAGATTTTTATTTTGCCGTCGCGGCAGCTTTTTAGGAAAAAATTTCAAAAATTCATGAATTTGCACAGAATCTGCATGTTTATGCATGCTATACTGTAAGACTTAGCGAATCTGATCGATTAGCGGCATCAGTTCTATTTCAAACCAGTCAAAACCTTGAAAATCAAAACATTTTTTCCGAATACCAGCGCGGCAGCGGCAAGTTTTTTTTTAAGGCGCGTCGCGGCAGCGGCGCGATAGCTTTTTTTAACAGGCCATCGCGTCGCGGGAGCGGCGCGGCAGCTTTGTTTGATTTTGGCCGCGGCGCGGCAGCGGCAGATTTTGAGCCGCGATGGACATCTCTGCAATATGGATGGCAAAGTATTTGTCGCCGATAGTTGTAACCAAACTTTCTTTGTTCTTTTCAACTTGAAATAATTTCATTTATATAACAATCGATAGTCCTTTTGTGAAGCTCTAAAAAAAATCTTACAATGACATGGAAATGAATACATGAACAGAGTGTTAACAGGTACTAAAAAAATAATAGCATAAAAAATCGATTCGATCTAGATATTTTTTGAAATCATTTTGACAACTTTCATTGTTGTTGAAAAACTCAACTCTGATCTGTCACGAGAATATGTGTTAAAAAACGAATTGAAATGAAATTCCGTGTGTACTGATTTCATAATCTTGTTTTTTTAGTTTTATTTAAATTTTGTATGTTTATAGCCCGTTTCTCATGGTCGCTTACAAATGTCAATGGAATTACTTTTTGTTTTTAGATAGATTCTCGTAATATGGATCATGACGAAGATGAAAATTGTCAACATGTATAGATCGATTTAGATTTTTATGCTGATTTCAAATATATATGTTATTTTTCTGATTAACAGTTAAGTTATTCTAATCAGACTGAAGTACATTTGAGTTAAAAAGTGCCATTTTTTCACTGTCTGCAAATATTGTGTTCATATATTCATAATGTATCTCATAAAGTTCATTTTCCCATAACAATTGACTTTTGTAGAGCTTCAAAAAGCCTATTGATTGCTATATAAAAGAAAGTATTCTAAAGCGGTAATAAGAGAAAAAAAAATTACTACAGTCGAGTAGCTATGTAATGAATCATAACGACGTGAACTAGTTGCATTTTACTTAAAAATATCACTAAACGATACGATACAATTTTTTAATAATGGTGGAATGATTTGTGGTCTTGCACGTCCCTACCATTTACAAGTGTGTGTATTACAAAAATTCTTATCTTAGAAATCGATATATATTGCTTTGTTTTAAAATTATATATTTCAATATTTGAAGTAATTCGATTTTTATTCCAACAGTTAAATATCGAAAAAAAAAGAAATAAATCGTTAAGAAATGTTAATTAGAAAAAACACATGTATTAAATAGATGATTGTCAATGACAGAAACAGTTCTTCATATGGATGATATATCATAATCATTAAGTAATAGTTCTCAATTTGAATTACTCTTGGAATAATTGAGACACACATGTTTTTGAACTCTTGTCTCTTATAAAATCACTTATATTTTATCATCACTAACAGACGCGAATTTTCTAGATTTAAGTGACATGGACTCTTTCAATTTCTTAAAAAATTTCTCACAGTTGTTATATCTTCGTATTCACCTATATGTTGTGATCGAATCACAATTATGCATAAAAATTGCCAATAGATCTTCTGAACATAAAGAAAACTCATCCTAACATACAGGTTTTTCCATAAGTTCTGAGTTATAAAGAAAATTAGTTTATATGTAAACAAAGAATAATTCCTATGTAATTATATCTGTATGAGTTCCGACTATCTTAAACGATGTGTTCAATAGTTCACTAGTACTTTTAAAGAGGTTTTAATGAACGATGAATTCATCGTATATACCGTAACAGAATTATACAAAGCGACACCTCATATCTATGGCATATGATTCGGTAGGAATTCCTCGTTGTCTACATATAAACTAATTTTCGTTCATATTCAGAACCTATAAGATATCCTTTATTATCAACTTCTTCATTGTCAATCATCAGAAATGAAGTAAGAATTCTTTATCCTTAATAAGTTTTCGTCATTATGTAATAGAAATAAACAAATTATTTGATTCTAAAATGCTAATTTTTTTTTAAAGCAAAGATCAACATTTCCTAATATATTTCTTGTTTTCTTAGACGATTATAATTCTTAGAAACATCTTTCGAAGAAGACATCAATATACGATTTTCGAGTATCTACTCGTCATACATGTGTATGAAGGTTGTATTAGACAAGACTTTCGTATTTATTTTTCTTTCCTTTTAATAAAAGAAATTCATATTTATCCATATAAGTCTCAATTTAAAGCACATATTTTATATCTATTTCTGGTCTAGGATAAAACTTTTATCTGTATAATATAGATTATCTTCTTCATTCAAACATTACGCTTATTTTATGTTGTGATACTGAAGTTAAGTTACACTTGTATTATAGTCATTTATTCTTATTTTCACTTTCATTTAGTTTCAATAGATTGATTCGGAAATGAACTGATTAGTTTTTATTAAAAACAAAAAAAGCACGTGATTTGTATAGCGATTTGTGTATTCATAGAAAGAATCAATAATTTTCAATATAATTATGCATCCAATTTCAAATATTTTGCATTGAAACTTTCAAAACATATATTTTTAGTTACGAATCTTAATGTTGTCTCTATTTCGATATTCTAAAAGGTATATTTATGTGATTATTTTGAAATGGGCTTAAAGAATTTTAAGTTTTATGATGAAAGTATGCTTCAATTAGTTTGATAAAGCAAATTTTTGTTCGACTTCGTTAGAAAATAATGATAAATGATTGCATTAAATTGTTATTTATCGAAGGCATCTAAATATGATGTTGATGATGAATATGCCTAGTATTTCTCGAAATATATATAATCATTTCTAGAGAAGAGATTGTTGTTGATTCATGAAAGAATGATTCGAGAATGGTATTAGAATATTTCAGTCGAGATCGATACTATGATCATTTGTTCGTTGGTGAAATACTTTTTAGTATGTATTCTCTTTTGTTTTCTTATCGAGAACTCTATCCCAGGGAGCATTGGACATCAATAACATCAGTATCAGCCAGTTTAGATATTTCGCTCTTGATACCATACAGTTTCAAGAAGAAATTTCAAAAATTTTTATTTGAAATTACTTTCAAAAACGATGCAAATTTATTCAAGTGGTTGCATGAAAAGTGAACTTTTAAAGGTTTCAAACACAGTTTTTGTTTTAGAGTTGTTCGATTGATCATTATCATACTATTCTAATTTTAGTAGCATCGACATTCCAGAATATTCGGCAAAATATGTTGGAAAATAAGAGTTGAGTCAGATAACATATTGTTGTTATTACAGATCGATAAATGTGAATTCAGGACCATGAATGAATACGTTTTACTTCTATCGAAATAAGTTCGACAAATGCTGTATCTAATGAGTGTTTTCCATTCTAAAACATACATTAGCATTTAGTGTAGATGCTCATTGTCCAGAATTCTCAGTTGAAATTACCTGAGCATAAATCTCTCTTTTACAACTTGAGATCTATTCATTACACTGAATGTCATGTCTCTATCTTTCTCTATGTATTGATTTTAGTTATTTTTTTAAGAGTTTTTAGCAGTAGACGTAGTCATCCATATTTTATAGATCCATTTTCGCCCAAAAATCTTCGAATACCTCTTTCGAGGTACACACAAATCTTGTAGTATCAAGAAACATATAGACATATCTGAAATTGCCCAAAATAATGTGAGTGTATCTAATCTCTCACACCCCCCACTCACACCCTCAGTATCGGCAATATTCAAGTGAAAAAGTACCAAGTATTGTACTCAGTATCCAGTGTCTGGATGATACGATTGCTACAACGCAGTAAAAGCAGTTTCTGATAGAGTTTTGTTCTGCGATTAATGCTCCGCAGTTAGTATAAAAGTGGCGACACGGGTAAGGATTTCATATGATTAAATCAAATCAAGATAAAAAATTTTGATCTATTTGAATCAATAGAAAAATACAGTTTTTCTCTCTATTCCAAGCGAATATCGTCAAACTGGTTTATTTTCAAAAAAGTAGAAAAACTGAATAAAATTAACTTTTTCGAGATAAATTAAGTTTAAACTGATTGAGAGAATATGTGATGCTATAACTATGGACTATGTTTGTGAATTCCGAAACTCACTTATATTCTATTTCAATTCAAATTATTGATGATTTAATTTTGTTGGAATAGATTTATTTCATTTATCATTTTTTACGAACGTTTCAAGCTCTTATCTCTTCTTATTACTGGTGTGGAAAATTTTTCTTCTGTTTCTAATTGTGTGCGTAAACATATATTATATCGTAGCTGATAGAACGAAAGAAAAAAACAGCGAAAAAAAAATCGTTCTTGCAGGGAATAGTATTTCAAAAATGTTTACTTGGAACTACACCATACCTCATGCTGATATTTTAGGATAATACTCAGTTTTTTGCGCACATTTCAACAATGCCACTGTTGTGAATTAGACTTTTAGCCCATCTTTTCGACCATTTGTTATGACTACATAAATTCTTCGTTTATAAGAAGAAAATGATTTCTATGATAGAAAGTCAACGGCAAAAATCGTTACAATCGACAACTAATGGAAATGATCAACAATCAACTACAATATTTGTTATTAAAAAAACAACAGATTTTTCCTTCTTGCTTTTATTCCACGTGTCTTTCTTGTACATGAATGTTGTTCTTTCTCTATCTCAAACACACGCTGAAATAATATATATTGCTACTAATCGCGTCATGCTTGATAGATCTTGAATCATATTTTGCTTTGATGTATGTATTATCATTATTTCGTAGTGTTAGTTGGTAGTAATCGATAAAACATATTTATATTTATGTCTGTTCTCTCAAAGTCAATATTTTACATTCGATTTTATAGATAGTTCTCTCGATAATTAATCTTTCTCTTTTCATTACTTTTTACCGTGTCGATAATGTTGATGTATCATCTCTTTTGCAGAAAACTGATACCTATGTCAAAGAATGACCATGTGAAATGTGTCGGGCAAATGAAGTTTGTGTTTTTTTTCTCCTATCGAATATCAGTATTTGGCAATGAGATTCTGCTGGCTGAGTTCAAAAACGAATCGTTTTGAGAAATCGAACTATTATTTCATTTCTAGATGACTGAAATCAATAATCGCACGATTAGTTCTCATGATGGAAAAGTACATGCAGTTGGTACAGTGATTTTATTTTTATCATTTGCTGTCTTGATCGCATGTATCTGCAAATCGATACTTTCGCAAATATTGAAAAATAAATTTCCTGTCCCATTTACAGTGATCGTACTCATTTTGGGCTTCATAATCGGTTTTATTATTGCCCATATTGATGTAATGGACAATGATTTTTTACTTGGTGAAAAAGAATTGAGAGAAATCAATCCTCATATGATTTATTACATTTTTTTACCGTTGCTTATATTTGATTCGTCTTTTAACAGTCAGTTTTATGTTATTCAACCACAAATTCTATCGGCTATACTTCTAGCTGGTCCTGGCGTGTTGATCTCTATTAGTATTGTTGCCGTGGTTGCCGTTTATATATTTCCTTACAATTGGTCTTGGCTAGTTGCTCTTATGTTTGGAAGTATTCTAAGTGCAACAGATCCTGTTGCTGTTGTGGCATTATTACACGATTCGGGGGCGAGTAAATCATTAGCATCACTAATCGATCTTGAATCGTTATTAAATGATGGTTCCGCCTTTGTCATCTTCTTGATCTTTCGCGATATTATCGTAGGTCGATGTGATAGTGCCCAGAAAGTTGTTATTGATACTGTTAAATTCACCATCGGTAAACGAAAACTTGATTATAATTGTTCTTTGTGATGATAGCATTTGGAATTCGTCTATTCTAGGAGGCTCGGCTTTTGGCTTTGCCTGCGGCATACTTGCTGTGATCGTTTTGAATCGTATCAATAATGAACTCGAAGTCGAAATTATATCGACTTTTGGTCTAGCATATTTGATTTTTTACGTTGCTGACGTTGAACTTGGTGTTTCAGCTGTACTCGCACTGGTAGTAATGGGACTTTTCATGGCTAAACATAAATATTGTATCAGTAGTCGTGTGCAAATTCCGATGGTCAATACCTGGCGTATCATTATCGATTTTGCCAATATTCTTATTTTTATGATTACTGGAATCATTCTAGCCCAATCATTAGTTGGTACGAAAGCAACTATTGTTGCACTTGATTTCGGATTTTCTATTGTATTGTACATTGCACTACATGTCGGACGTCTATTGTCCGTTCTTATTGTCAGTCCATTAATACATTGGAGTGGTGTGCATCTATCTTGGAAAGAGTATACAATTTTGACTTGGAGTGGTTTACGAGGAAGTATGTCCGTTATTTTAGCTTTGATTGTTAATTCCGACAATCATATTGATATTACAACGAGACATCGTCTTCTTTTCCACATATGTATGATTGCCCTTCTCACATTGATTATCAACGGAACAAGTAGCAAGTTTTTAGTGAGACTTCTCGGTTTGGATCATGGTATGTATACGCATTTGTTTACATAAAGATACAGTCCTATGAATTTAGCTAATTTCATTCGTTATTGACTTGTTCAGTTCATTTTTTTTTTACTATTCATTACTATCTAGCATGTAGCAAGTGGTTCGTTGATACACAGTGATTACTGTTGATGAGATGATGGAAATCAGAATGGAAAAAAAAAGAAATCATTGTTTGACCATTCAAGATTCATCACTTGAGTACAATCAAAATGCATCTTCAGTATCTCGATTCAACTTGATCTTCATTTGAGTAGTATAAAATCTACGCATAGTGCAATTTCATACCGAAATATACTCAACTCATTATTCAGCTCCAGATTAAATATCTCTACGTAATTTGAATGTTGTGTAACATATACGTCATTTTACTATTTGAGGATTTATTTCTGATAGAAAAACAATTATGAAAGGAAATAAGCTTTAAAAAAAACCGATAAAGAAAATCAGTTTGAAACGACTTAGTACTAATGAAATATTTCATTCTAAAACGATAGATTTCTTTAATTTTCATCGTTTCAATTCATTTAAACTCAATAGAAACTCTAAATCGATTTAAAATATTTGTTATAATCAGTTCATGTTTTCTAACCGATTCATCTTGATAAAATGACAATAAAGTCTACTAATTAGTAACGACATAACTTGATATCATTGTTCAACATCTCTTTCATAGCACTTTAAATTTTTTCTTGGATAGCATATATGAATCCCAAAAATTCCTAAAATCTATAGTTTCTTGCAATGAACTGTTTGGTTTCCACAAAAATGAAATATATGCGAATGATTAACTGAAATTATTTAGTTGTGTTTCACTAATTAGGAAGACTTTTGTACTTTGAAAAACATGTTCCTTTTCTAGGTACACCGGAAAGTGAAACCGTTTTATTACAAGCTCTTATACACATGCGAAAACTAACACTGAATCAACTTCACAAGATGAAAAAAGAGAAACAATTTTCTGATGTTGATTGGAATCTGCTCAACGAATATTTACCGGAAAAATTGGTTAAAAAAATGGATTCAGAACGAAAAACTAATGTTTATCGACGATTTTCCATTACATCGGATTCATTTTGCAGTCCATCGTCAACTACATGTCCAATAACTACGATAACAGATATTGAATCAAAAGAAATTCCGAACATACATGAAATGGATTATGTTCCCATCAATGCCATGCTGAATCAACAGGATATATCTCACCAAGATGTTGTATTGTCCATGATCGATTTTCGACCAGATGATAAGGAAAAAAATGATAATTTTCGAAACGAGTTAACTATTCGTTTTCTCACAGCATTGTCAGTTGATTACGAGAAACAATGGTATATTGGAATGATTCGTCGACGAACACTCTACATACTAATTAAATCCGTCGAAAACGCCAAACATCAACATTCATTAAAACTTCATTGGAGATTGATTGTCAAAAGTTTTCGCTTGTCAAAATGGCTGTTAAATCTCATGCGATTCGACTATATCGATTGGATTACCAAACAATTTAATAAATTATTGTTTGATCATATCTTTCTCACCATTGAATTGATTCTCGGTAAGTTATCGAACAACAGCATTGACTTTGTTCTATTGAAAAACAATTTAATTATTGTGTAGCTTTCTATTCGGCTCGAACTCGTATGGATAATCTTCGAATGCAATTTCCTGAATTGGCTAGTATTGATGAACGAATATGGCATGAAGTTTTCCAAGAAACTCATTTATATCATGTCACTGCCATCAGCATGCTTCTTGATCTGAAACAATCATATGAAATTTGTTGGCGAATTCACATGACAAAACGATCTGCTCAAATGTTACTTAAATATGAATCGAAGACGATTACTGAAATTTACGAAACAGGAATGCTTGGCGAAAAGGAATATTCTTATATATTGGGATTAATCGAAAATAAATTGTTTGATCTCGAATTTTATCGTGTTCGAATGCCAAAAGGTCATGTGAAAGCGATTGAAAATGCATTTGACTTATTGCTACTCTTTAAATCACTACCAAATAATGAAAAAGCACGTTGGCAAACGATTATGAAAGCAAAGCATAGATGGTTTCAACCGGGCACAATTCTTCTTCGAAAAGGTCAAAGAGTATTCAATGCCTATCTTATTGCTCGAGGTATTGTTCAATGTAAAGTTGATACGATGCCCATCCATTACCGATCGGGCAATATTGTGGGTATTGATGCCTTATTCTCACAAAATTGTGTAGCACATGCTACTTATTCTGTTTGTGGTGGACTTGTAGAAGCCTACCGTATAGATGCAACATTATTGAATCAACTTTTAAACGATGAAAATTTAGCTCCTTCGATCTATCGCGAAATTGCCTTGCATGTCTTGAGTAATCACTATCAGCCACGTTTGAAATTGAATCGTCTACAGCTAAAATTACTTTTGCACAAGCGAGCAAAATTCTATTGGAATCAACCAGAGGAATCGATTCACTTTCAAGAAAATCAACAACTATTTATTCTCTCTGGCAATGTTATGTATTTGTCGAATGGTCAAAATAGTACCTATGATGCGATCCAACTTCAAACTTTTGATAAAGAAGCTGAAGTTCTTTTCAATCGTTCGACTGTAGCCTTTTCATGGACGGATGATGATGAAGTTTTTTTTGCTAAAGATACAAATCTTGCAATTGATTTTTCGATACAAAACCTTGGTTTGATTTCAAATGATCTATTTTATTCTGTATGTTCGGATGGAATCACAGAATCTTCCGAACAACGGCGTTAAGAAACAGTATCGGACAATGTTAAACATCTCAATGATGTTCACGAAATGCCCTTCTAAACAGACATAACTATAGAACATCATAAAGACTTTGATTTTCGATTTCGTCTTTTATAACGCATGACATGTTTATCATTTTCTTAACTTGTGAAAAAGCTTTAGATTAATATTTGCGAAATTAAGGCATGAAGCACGACGAAGCCTCTCTAATTAAATATGAAAGCTTTGGTAATATTGATTACAATCAGCCACAATATCAAAGAAGCATCACTTCAATGCTATTTTCCATCTAATTCTTGTCCAGTCGAAATCGAGCGCAACCGAGTGAAAGTGAACAGAACTTGCAGGCACCGTTGCGGGAAACTAAAGAGAAAGGTTGATCGATTCTTGGAAGCAATGAAAGGTGTGAATGTGGAGCGTGTGCAGGACACGTTTTGGGTCTCCTCCTAATCTGTACACATATCCACATCAACATCCATACGCACATACCCAGACTCAGATCCAACCCATACCTACACCCACATTCACACTCTCACTCTTGCCGAGCTCTATCTACTAATGGTATTAGTTTTCGATTTGAGGATCTTCATGGGTCTTCGCATCTTTTACAAATACCTGATTATTCTTTACCTGATAAATTACATAAATGAGTGTACGAAAGAGAATTGCCAAAGACGATCATACTGAGATTAGGATATTTGCATGCAAGTAGAACACGTTCCATTGAAAAATAAGCAAAGGTAAGTGATATAACGTTATGATGTATTCGAGACAATATTTTATAAAGAAATCGATCATAATTAACATGATTAAATGAAAAGAATTCATCGTTTGGTAATTCCTTAAAGAATGTTCATAGAACCAAGCTTTTTCATAGTAATAAGCAAGATTTCATTAGGTAAGTCGAGTAAATGAAAAGTTTATAGTTCATAGTGGATACATATCAACTAACTTTTCCTCTCTTGCTATTCAATTATATATTTTATATCTATTGACATCCATCAAAGATGAATCAATCTTAGTGCTAGAGTTTTTTGTCGTCGGGTAAAATGCTGCAATGTTCTATAGCACTGTGTTAAACAAAAGCATTTGATATTAAGTTTATATTATTAATCGATACTGTAGTTAACGAGAAGAAATATTAGAAAAAAACCTGATCTTTAGTAAGAAAATAGAATATTTCAGATGTCATAAAGACATGAAAATTTTAACAGTATAATTCTACAAGTTTTTATCTAATTATAGAAAATGTGTAAAGTTCGCGATTGTATCCTATAGAAATTTATTTGAATTTGAGAACATAAGGAGTTTGTTCTCCAACCAAAAAACAAGAAGGATGGATATGCAAGATTGTTCTTATGTTTAAATTTCTTCCGATCTTTGCTTATTATAGTATTTGTATTGAAACACATTCATATGTTATAGATATATTCGAAAAAAACGTATTATTTTGTAGTGTTTGAAATTAATCAAAACAAAATTTTGCCTGTGACAAGATCAATCTTTTTTGATAAATGTAGATGACGTTAGTGGTTGATTCGAGTAATTCTGCCTGTGATTCACCTAGCAACTTGTTTCAGACGTTTCATTTGTGGTCTAAATACAATTTGATGAACTCGATTCAGTGATACAATTCAATTTTCCGTAATTCAAACAATGGTACCAAAAATCCCAAAATTAAGTGGGTGGGAGTATCGGCGTGGATGCGTATGAATGTGGGTGTAGGCTTCTTCTTCTTCACCACAATCACACCCGTACTTAGTTGACGAATCATAAAAGTTACGAATAACGTTCTTTTCACGAAAAACTTTGACGTTTATATTTCTACGAGAACATTCTATGAAATCTTACGGAGAAAAAAAATCTCTGCAATTATTTAGATCTGAAACCGGAGGTTGGGAGTGCTACCGGCGATATATTGATGGTACACCGCCGGTTTTATCAATATCTTCAAGAAAAAATAAAACTGCAGTCCATTAGTGAGTAATCGAGATAACAGCAAAATTGTGTTTGTATCCTTGTAACTATATTTACTTGACTGATGAAAAACCAACCTCTATAAAGGTGTTCTTATCTTAACAGCTACACTTATTCAATGTTGACATTTGTTTTGAAGTCATTTATCTTTATCAATAGAAGCATATGCTTTGTTAGTGTTCTAAATAAAAAAGAATTGTTAGAAGACACAATATTTATCTGATAAATTCACAAATTTTTTCTATAGAAAAAAAGAAAACTAGCAATGGCTTACGGAGAATATAGTCACAGACGTATTCAGTTGGGGTTGATTATAATTGGTCTGTTTGTAATAATTACTTTTGCTCTTGCAGCTGCGTCTCTTGGCACTCTTAACAAAAGATTCAATCATCTAAATCAACAGATAGATGGACTACACGACGTAATGTCTAATATTGAGGACCGACTATCCACCACACCCACAATAACAAGAACTTTGCTTTCGACTACAACAATGACTACGAATGCTCCTATAACTTCAATGATGACTACAGCAATAGCTGATACTACGGATGCCCATACAACTTCAATGACGACTATAACAATAGTTGATACTACGGCTCCAGCTGCAACGATGACTTTGTCTGGAATTTAAACAAAAAATTGTCTATAGCTTAATACAGTGGTATGCATGTGATTATGTGTAGTTGATCATTGATCTTCAAACATTCTATGTATTTATCACCTTCTCATCTCTTCTTGCATCGTTCCTTTTTTCTATTCAACTCTTGAATAAAAAAAATCACGCATCAAATTATTTTATTATCATCAACGACCATTGGTTTATCGTTTCTTAATTCAATGCTTCTCATAGTCACTGGAAATAAAAACTAAATTGAACGATTTTACAGTTCGAACCTGTGTATAGAACATAAAAACAATATTATTAATTGACACATTATTTTGTCTATGTTTGAATTTCTGTCTAATATATTATTTTTATTTTCAAACATACTAAAAAGAATTTATTTATTAGAACAAAATAATGTAGTCAATGGATAAATGACTGTGTATGGTAAGATCTGTTAAAATAAAGATATTCAATATGATGTAGAGTAAATGCACTAGACAATTTTATATCTTTTTAAATGAAAAATTTTCATTAATTTATATTTGATAAAGAATATATTTATGTAAAAAAAAATACAACATGTTGAAAAATATAAATTCACTTATTTATCTCTGGTCTATAACATATAAAATAATGATGAATTCATTGTGTAGTCTGATTGTTGATTATGAATTCTTATTTTTCATCTCTTCACACAATTTCTTTCTTAACTTATGTTGATATCGTGTCTAAAAAAAAAATAACCTTACAGTACTATATTATTCACCAATAATAAATACAGTCAATCAAAAAAGTTAATGACGATTTTTGTTTGTTCTCCAAAATTTAGTAGTTAAGTGCATGGAGTGAAAAATATATATGTTTTGTTTTTCTTGTGTCTAAGTAGTATCTGTAAGAGAAGTAGCTAATTTTACTCTTTTCGTAAGTTACACATTTGGTTTCAGCCTGATAGGGATGACACTAATGACATCGAAGCAACAAATCAAAATAGTGAACTCTCAAAAACTGTTTTTCTACGAAAAATTTCGGCTCCATATGAACATTTGTTCGAGACTTACTAAAGAAATTTTGTAAATACTTCTAACTAAGTGAATAAACTAAGGTGATGAATAAAAATAATAGGAATACTGATAAATATCAGTATTTTAAACAAAGTACTTTGAAGACAGATGATGCTTTTGAATATCTAAGTCAATCAATTTTTCAACGTGGTATATAACACTGTCGTTAAAAACAAGAAAAGCTAGCTGAAAACTGAACTTTGCTTTTGTATCTCAATAAAAGATTATTTCGTTTTCATATCGATTATTCTGCTATCACATAAATTCATCGGGTGTGGGTCTGGGTGTGGATTTATTCGTAACCAGAACCCACATACACAGACACCTTCCCTCTCACCCCACCCCACGCCTTAAACCCACACCCAAAACTGTTATACTTTTTGTATAGCTGTTTAGGCTGTAGTTCACAATATTTTATCCAAACCTCGACTGGATTCTAAATTTATCCTCCCCATGTTCTCATTGTGAAGTAACATCTTATTTTAATGCTCTTGTTGGCTCCTTTGCACAGTATTGTATCATAAACTTGCTTTCGTGAGGACGTCAAAATGCCTTCGAATGGTCAAGAGCAATTATACATTCAGTTCTACTTGTGTTAAACTTAAGCAAACGTATTGACAAAGCAACGACATGCAAGCGACACAAAATTCTCTCGTTCCTTTGAAATTCGGAAGAATGAACAAGAAAAACGATTCAGCAGGGTTTCTGTTCCTCCAAATTTGTTCTTTCCCAAATTATCGACGGCAATTACAGAATGAAAAATTTTCATTCTCTCACTGTTAATTGTATGTGTTAACGAATGGAAGTCAACAACTCTCTTGTCCAAAACTTCTTTCAAGTTGATAAGAAACAAGAGAAGAAAAGATCTTCTTTCAAGAAATATTACGATCAACACATTATTATTCAAAAACATTCATTTGATAAGTCGTTTAGCTTGTTTGTAAGGACAAATTCCTCATAAGTCTCAAATATATCTATATTGAATTTATTTAGATTCGATGGACAGAGACAAAACACCAAAGGCTCAATTGAGTTGTAAGATAATTTTATTTCATGAGTCAACACTGTTAGATTTCCACTCTTTTGACTGACATATTTCTCCAAACGATATCGAAGCTTACACAAACTAGATAAAAATTGATGATTACTGTATTTTTTAATTTTGTAAGTGGTTGAGTCCTTTGCTACTTATTTTATTTGTGCTTTCATAGATGCATTTTAATTGTTTTTTTTTAATAAAGAGCATACTTACTAAAATAAAAGAGTTTTGACAATTAGAGTGATTGTATCTTAGATATATACATCGTCCAAGGGACATAATGAAGTACTACTGTCATTAAGAACTGGCAAAGCAA